TGTGGGTGGGTGTGGGTGTGTGGATATAGATATATTAAAAAAACCCAACAACTTGGGTCTATGGGAACTGAAGCACAGAGGTGCCCTGTCCTGACAACATCAGAAAGCACTAGTTTTCCACCTCACGCAAGAGATGCCTGCCGGCCTCTGAGCACTGTGGTGGGCAGAGGTTCCCAGGGCAAGGCCTAGCCAGGGGCTCACACCAGCTCTGCACAGCACTCTGCTATGGCCGAGGGGGCACAGGGCTGAGAGGATGAAAGGGAGGAAGCAGCAGGGTCAAGGCAGAGCTGCTCAGTGTAGGCGGCCCTTTGAAAAAGCAGCCCATTCTCTTCCACCTGCAACAGCAGAGCCCCAAGAAAAGGGCTTTCTGCTACTACCCCAGCCCTGAAATGCCAGCATGGCTGTGCGGGGAGGGGGACTGCAGATCACAGCTGCTCATCCCACATTGGCAGAGCGATTCAATAAAGAGCCACTCTGATTTCTTATGCCAGCCCACTGCTTTCCACGCTGCTCAGGGTATTCCTGGCCTGCAGAGCCCCCCACACTTGTGCTGCCGTACAAGAGGGTGGCCAATATCCAACTGCTGGGACAAAAGGACTGGGGGGGGGGAACTGGGAAATGCATCCGAATCTGAAGGGTTAAACCCAAAAGCTCTCTACATGTTCCTCCCTCCATCTCTTTCCTTCCACAGCTGATTGCAGCGATACTGGGCCCATTCAGGCAGCTGGGAGGGGGCGTGTTTTTGTCTACTCCAAGAGTTATTTTTAAGAATGCAGCAGCGTTAGGGAAGGGAACGTGCTTTGCTGGAGTATTTTAAGCTTTCTGGTTATAGGAACAGTAAACAATATAGGAGTTTCAGCTTATCAGGAGCTCATTTCCACCTATTATGTAGCAGCAACTAGGTCTATGGCCCGCATGGTCCTTTATCACTGTCTCCAAGCCCATATTCCCCATGCGAGAGGCAGGCAGTTTATTGGGAAGATGTAAGGCTAGCCTGCACGCAGAGGGAAGTCAACAGCTGGACAATCCCAGCACCCTTTTCCTAGAGAAATTTTGCTTCATTTCTAAGATCCCACATCTGCTCCAAGTAGTACAATGTCAGGGACAGTCACTGCCGTGTGAGGATGGAGGCTGTGCGACTCAGGGCTGTATAACGAGACTGCCCTGATGAATAAGGGCTGCAGAGAGATTGCTCAAGCATGCTACCATGGCTCCAGAGCACCAAAGGAGTTTATTTTTGGGTGGCCTATGCACCGGGCAAGTCAAACAAGAAAGAAAAGCCCAAAAGGTGAAGATCATATCATGAATGACATCAGCAACCAGCACTAGATCATTAATGCTCGGCTGTAACTCAGGGCACTCAATGGGATTAGGTCAGACTTCCTTCCCCTCTGCCCTGAGTAGGTAGAAAAGCCCCAACTTTCAACATGCAACTGGGATGTGAGAGCCAGCACGGCTGCTATGCTACATTGGAACAGATCTCCTAGACCAGCAGTTCCTAGTCTTGGGGTTGTGACCCCATTGGGGCTTGCAACCATAGGCACAGACTTATTTTTGCACTGGGGAGCAGGGGGCAGCACCAAGACAATGGACACGTGGGAAGTTTTATGCATTTCAGGTGACAGCCCAAGGGCAACCAGGGCCCGTTGGCCCCCATGTACTCAGCTCCTCTACTTGCAATGATAAAAAAATGGGGTCCCAAAAGACACTTGACAGCATCAGCCAGTTATGATGAACACAATTCCTGTTGATAGATACACAACTCTCGTGCATGGCAGTTATTCGCCCACGCGTGGCTGCTGCGGCTCCGATGCGAGGCCCTTGTACGTTACAGGAAGCAGATGTAAAAAAAAAAAATCACTCCGTTGATACTGGCTGGCATACATTTTACATGATGGAGACATCCAATATGGATGCTTTTCTCTGAAAAATAAATAAAAATTCTGCCTCAAACTCTAGCAATAAAGCTAATGACAAGGATGTGAACAAAAAGCAAAAGGAACGCGAAACACGAAAGCAGGAATTTGATGCATCCTTCCTCATTGATCTTGTCTACAGCATCTTGGGATGCAAAAAGCTCCCAGTGTTTAAATAGGGTCATGCTGAGGAAGAGGTTGGGAAGCCCTGATGTAGAGAGAGGCAAGGATGCATCTCAGGAGTTTAAGTGGAGATTATAACAAACACCAGTCTCAGATTTGTGAAAGCAGAAACCATCCTGTCTGGAGCAAGGGGGGGGAAAAAAAACAAAAACAAAAAACACCCCAAACACTTAGACTACAGGTCCTTTTGAATCCCTCCCAGGCCAATTTTTATAGGAACACTTGATTTTAAAACCGCACTGGTTCTGGCTTAACTTGCCTCGAGCAAAGCCCTTTAAACCTTGCCAAGGGATGCCGGCTCTCAGAACCACCCAACTAGACACAAATTGGGACTTGGGGCAGGGGACAAGGAAACACTTTGCAAAGCACAAGCTATTTGGGTCACTTTTTTATTTGATGAGATGCAAGTTTGAAGTCTGTCAAGAGAAATACAAAGGAAACAAAAATCCTGGAGAGCAACTCCGGTCTGCCACCCACTCCCAGCAGAGTCCATGTACTTTGGTTATGCTGGGACAGGCATCTGCAGTGCTTTGTTTGGTCTCCGGAACGAACAAAACCCCCCCCAAAAAATTAGTGACACGAACAAACAGAAAGAAGGATGTTGAGTCATATCCTTGTGCTTTCACAGCTTTGGGATACCAGGGACGGCTTACTGTAGCCTGAGTTTTAAGAACAGGAACAACAGGTTTGTTCTCCCCCCCCATGGTGACATTTTGCTACAGCAGGAGAGGACCTGTGTGGAAGAGGAGACATCCAATTTCTTCCCCTGCCGCCAGAGGCGGAAGTGACTTTAATGCTGTTGCAGTGCAGCCCTCTCAGCTGTGAGCACCTGTGCCCTGCTGCTCCACCCTATCCCACAAAGCCCCCACGCATGGAAAGGAGCGCTACCAGTCCTGGACTTGCATAATCCTCATCTTGAATGACAGAGTCCAAGGAACAAAGGTGGGAAGAAGGAGTTCTTTGGCCCCATCCATAACATTGGACATCCAAAAGGACCATCTCAACTCAATTCTAGCGTTTATCCTTCCCCCAGCTTTGGATGCAGCCAAGTTCTTACAGTGTCACAAGAGTCCACACTCCAGAACATGGGCCTTTCAGTGCTGGATGTGCAGCAAGTCTTCTAGAAGAGTTGGACATGGATAGGGTGGTTCATATTAGCCAGACAGCTGTAGATCCAGTGGCAGAGACTGTCTTTTTTTTTTTTTCCTTCACTCAGACCAACAACAACAAAAATTAGACAAATCTTAGCAGTTAGGAAGAACCCAGGGTAAAGCAGCAAGGCTACTATTGCTGACGTGTACAGGAGAAATGCATACATAGATACATGAACAGCACATTGCTCTATACACAAACAGTGAACAGTGCATATAGCTCAGCTCTGCCACCAGGCAGCTCAAGGGAGCCTGGGTTTTAGGACAGGCAGTATCCTCCATTACAGCAGTTTCTGACACAAAGCCATCCCCCGGGGAACTACAATCTCAAGGGGGGCATAGTGTAGCAAGGCACTTAACAGCTTAAATAAGCTACTGAAGTCAGGCAACAGCACATAGCGAGTAGCCAGTGCTAGGTTTCTTTTAGGGTTTTTTTCCTGAAGAGCATTTGGGCAAGGGGCTCTGAAGCCAGGGAAAGAGGTGGCTTCAGCTCAGGACCACCTGCTTCAATTAAAAGCCTATATGGAAGTGTTGCTTAAGGGGATCACTAGGCTGAAGCCAGCACCCGGCAACACCGTGGAGGCAGGCAGATCCCAACAGGATTAGAAGGGGATTTCTTTCCTTGCCCTGGTCCAGATTCACTTTTCTCCACCACCGTTGTCGACTACTTTCATCTGAAGGCTATAAACAGCCAAGACCTGCCGAGCTGGAAGCCACTGACTTGCCGTAACCCTTGGTCAGGGAAGGACTATTTGCCCCCTGCTCCTCTCCCTGATAGTTGCTTTATGGATATCAATCCAATTAGCTTCCCCTGAGAATCCAGTGGCAGTTCTATCCCATGGAAGAACAACTTAGTTTTCCATGCAAACCACCCAAGATCCCAGCTGAGAAGGGATTTGGTTTGGTTTCCATGTTTATACAGTGTTAAAAAAAAAAATAGAAGTCACATAAACTGCCCTCCAGGGACAGCAGCTGGAAAAAGAAGAAGTCCAAGTGTAGCTTGTTTGAAGCAACAGTTAACTCAAGGTCTTTTGTCCAGAGGACAGTCCTCTTCCCAACAGTCTTGTGTAGGTTTCAGCAGGACTATCCAAAAGGTTACCGCACTGGGACCTGTGGCCAGTTGGCTACCACATGCCACTGACCCCCCCATGCTTGCTGTGGGCTCACAGGAGTCCATGGAACAACATCTACAGCACCTTTACTTTACGCACAGACCCATGAGGAAACCAGGTTTCTGCCCATCAACCAAGAGGAGAAGCCTCTCCAAGAAAGAGGACACAACCAGAAAGTCTGTGAGCCGTGACAGCCTCCAGCGGGGCAGCCCAGAAGACACGAGCCCGATTGCAGATGCTCAGACATACTGTTTTTTAGAAGCGGAGCTACTGGGACGGCTGGTCTGCTTCTCCTCCAGGGACTGGGCATTAGCAGCATAGCCACTGGGCAAAGGTTTGCTACCGTTGCGCAGGGCCAGGTTCTCCTCGGTGTTGAAGTTGGTCCAGTTCTGCTCACTAGACAGCTTATTGTAAGACTGGTAGGGAGGAGCATGAGCCGTGCTCATGGGCAGATAGTGGTACTGCTTGGGCTGGTATGGGCCACCAGGCACCTCACACAGCTTTTCATCCGGGAAGGAGTCCTCACCCAGGCCGGCAGGGGACGTGGATGAGATCTTCTTTAAGCCGTTGAGCATGTTCTTGCAGCAGAGGTGGACGAGCTCCGTGAGGTTGAGACCGAGAGAGATGAGACCCACCACCAGCATGAAGATAATGAAGATGGTCTTCTCAGTGGGCCGGGAGACAAAGCAGTCCACCCTGTGAGGGCAGGGGACTCTCTCGCACACGAAGACAGCTGGCATGGAGAAACCATACAGGTACCACTGACCCAAGAGGAAGCCAGCCTCAAAGATGCTCTTGCAAATCACGCTGGTGATATAGGAACACATGAGGGGTCCCCGGATCTTGATGTGTCCATCCTCTGTGACACAGATCTTGGAGATCTTTTTCTCTACCACTGCCAGGGCCTGCTCAACCTTCAGGTCCTTGATCGGCACAGCTCGCAGCTCGCTCTCTTTCTGCTTCAGCTTCTCATCCAGGCGGGAGAGGTAGATGACATGGCCCAGGTAGATTAAGGTGGGGGTGCTGACAAAGAGGAATTGGAGCACCCAGTAGCGGATGTGGGAGATGGGGAAGGCTTTGTCATAGCAGACATTGGTGCAGCCTGGCTGCTTGGTGTTGCACAAGAAGTCTGACTGCTCATCTCCCCACACTGACTCCCCCGCCAGGCCCAGGATGAGGATCCGGAAGATGAACAGCACTGTCAGCCAGATCTTCCCAATCACTGTCGAGTGCTCCTGGACCTGGTCCAGAAGTTTCTCCAGGAAGCCCCAGTCTCCCATCTCTTAGGGGGTCTCGAGGGTCTGGCAGCAGAGAGAACAAGAATCACATCAGCTTGGTTGTTTGTGCGAAACAGAGGAGACATGGGGTCTCCTCCCACTCCTCACTAGTCCACTCCTTGGGGCCAGCATCCCGTGACCAAATGGGTGATGCCCCCTAGACAGGCTGCCCCAGCAAGGCATAGGGGCTTGGCCAGTTCAGCATGCAGGTTGGTATTCGAGAGCAGCCTCACTTTGTGGTCTAAGCTTTCTAGCATCAGGGAACTTGGTCTCTCAGCTTACACTGGGAGCCTACATCACTGCAGGAAGGCGGCGTGGGGTAAGACTGGGGGAATACAAGGGGTGTTCCAGGGAGCACAGGATATACTGGTCCCAGTTGAAACCAGTACACACTTCATGCAGAGCTGGTTGGACTGTTTTAGCCACCTTAGTGGCATGGAAAGGGAGTGCATCTTTGCTAGGTGCCTTGTGGGTTTGTGGCCAAGACCCCTAAAGCAGCGGTTCTTAACCTTTTTTGTACTAGGACCCGTTTGTAAACATCGATGGCCAGTCTTGACCCACTGCCCTTCACTCCTGACCTGCTGCCCCCCACCCTCAGGTCCCAACCTCCCCATGTGGGGCAGGGGGTGGATGCATGTGGGGCGTGGGCCCCCCCCCCCCGATAGCTCCTTGCAAGCTGCAACTTTGACAGCCTGCAAGGGAAAAGAAACTGTTTCCTACATTTGTCTCTTTTAAAGGAGAATGCATTTTTAAAATTCATTGAAGACCCTTTCATGTATTCTTGCGACCCACAGGCTGAGAAATGCTGCTCTAAAGCATGGTCTCTGCTCAAACCCAGCTGCTACAGCAAGGTGTTAGCCAGGCTCCCCAGCTCCTTCGGGGAGGGTGTCCTAGCTCCTCCTGAATGAGAGCCTTCTTTCCAAATAAGATCAGGCAGCAAAGAGTCCCTTATGCTGCCAGAGTCCATTTCAAGAGACATTGCTGGGTCTGCAAGCAGCGGTTTCCTCCTGTCCATCAGGGAGCCAGGCAGGACAGCTCATTGCTTTCCGTTAAGGAAGCAGAGCACGGGGCAGCCCTCAGGCTTCTCACAAGGAGCCAGCACGGCCCTTTAGTGCTGCCCAGCATGGAGACTCAGCTGAAACCCTGCAGCTCTCACCCACTCTTTACAACAGCTCTGGGGAAAGGGGCAGAGCAGAGAAGCCACCGAAGCAAGTCAGGGACTCTAGTCACCCTGGCAGAGCTGAATTCGTGCAGCAGGGGACACCCCCAAAACTATTCCCAGGCTCAAGGACTCCCATCAGGGCCACATCCCCAGAGAAACAGCAGCCACCACCACCTGGAGGGTGGAGGGCAGGAACAAGCCATCCCCTCCCCAGCTCCTACAATTTATCCTGCCTATTGGGGTGGGAGCCCTCATCCCTGGGGCCACATTCTCTCTCATGGGGCAGGGGCAAGACCCCCACCCCAGTTCCCCCTTACCACCACCAAGCAGAAGCTGTGGGCACAACTCCCTCACTTCCCACAGAAAGGGAACAGAGGATAGCTACTCAGCTCCTGGCTCAGCCTGGGCACCCCCATTGCTCCTAGAGAGGAGGTATTGCATCCCCAGCGCAGCAGCAGCTAACTGGGGACAGTCCCAAGCCCCCCACTCACCACCCAAGAGCGCACACAGTCCCAGTTACAAGGCTCTCCTACTCCCAGCTGCCAGTCAACCCTCAGGCCCAGGAAGGGAAGCAGGCAGGAAGCTCCTTTGTAATTATTCCCCCTTCAATTAACCAATTAAGGGCTCCACTGACTTTTAAAAAGTGAAATCAAAGGCCAGGAGAAGTGGGATCTGGACCCTAAGCAGAAGGGAGATAGTAGATGTAGGTGGGTTGAAGTGAGGCTGGAAGGTGCATGCCATGAAGCAGGAAGCCAAGCCCTAATGCATTATCCCTTCTCTGTAACCTCCCACAGCCCCTTTCATGACTCTTGCCCCCCCCCCCACCAGCCACTTAGTGGGGGCATAAAGCCTGCAGTTCCCATGTCACTGGCTTGCTTGGAAAACAGACCCAGCAGCACGCCAACAGCTGGCATTTACTCACCTGCACCAGGCACAGCTGCGTAGCCCAAGTCCCTGCTGACCTGCTGCTGGGAGTGGAGCACCCTGCCTGCCCCACCTGTGGCTGCAAGCAAGCGAAGCCGGTGCTGCCCACCCGAATCCCTGGGATGCTTCTAGGGAAAACTTGGCTATGGAGAGTCACTTCCCAGGAGGGGAGGAGCTGCAGGAAGCAGGGGTGGGAAGAGGGGCTGGTAAAGCAAAGAGTCCAGCTGCAGAGCCTGGTTTTAAAGGGCCAGCTGTTGGGACAGGTGTTTTGAGGGGGGGAAGTGGTGACTTCATTCTTTTCCTGCCTGCTGGTGCAATACGAAGTCACTGGAATAGGGGGAAAGAGCATTTTTAGGGGCAGGGGGTACAACGGCCTTGGTGGGCTCACGTCGCTCTTAAAGGGACTCGCAGACAGAGCCAGGGCCTCGTGGAAATAGGAAATGGAGGAAAACAAGCCAGACGAGACTGAAATAATAATCCTCAGTCCGGGTCAGGAGGCCCTCAGAGCCAAAACCAACATGGGCAGGGCTGTGGGGAGCATCCCACGCCAGGGCAATGCATGGAAACAGTGAGGGGCTGAGAATCTGGCAGCAGCGAGGCTTGCAGGGGGTAGGCTTGTGCCCTGGGGTAGGCTGGTCAGTACTTCTGTCTTCCCCTGAAGCTGGCCACTGTGCTGTCCTGGAAGCTGGCCTGGTTATTTCCTGGGAGTTGCAGAAGTCCAGCGAACTCCCTTGGTAAACCTTGGCTGTGAGCCTCGGGGCAGGTACGTCTCCACTTGCCTGTCTCCTTTTCCTCCTAGCTAATGCCGAATCCTTCAAAACAGGTGGGTACTCAATGCTCACTGGAATCAAGCCATGGGAAATCAAACAGGAGGGAGGTGTCTGCAGACTCTGGAGGACCTTTGAGCTCTTCTGGGGCTTGGTGCTAGTGCATGGCTTGGCCTGTGCGTCTGAGTTAGCAGGCAGCTCCACACCTGGATCTGAGACCCAGCAAGGGTTCAAAAGCTGCTGCAAGGGGCCTGGCCCCACTCCCATGTGGCATCTGAGTGAGCACAGTGCAGAACCAACCCAACGGGGGAGATGTGGGGTGGCGTGGGGGCTGTCTCCCAAGGGCGAATAGCTCTGGGGGTGGGAAACCAGTTCGCTGGCTGAAGTAGAAGGCAGCGGGTCGTTGGCTGTTTAGCAAAGAGCAGGGAGGAGGTTGCTGGTGGTGAGGGACCTGGTGGACCAGGCAATGAGAGAGGGCTGAGGGTGGGGTTTCGAGGGGAGCACCGAGCCGGATTTAAAGGCGCTGAGCCTTGTCCCCACTCGATGCTTGAATGTTGTCTGCAGGGTTAATTCAACCCTGTTTAAAACGCCCCCAGGTCTATTTCTGGTGCAGGCCGGGCTGTTCTTTGCTGTGTGCAGACTCTCCCTTTGACACGCACGGGGCTCTGCCCAGCAGCCGATACCCAGCGCCGGACGGGGGTAGCTGAGCCCATAGTCCCTCCCTCTCCTGCTGTACAAACCCCTGTACCCCAGGGCCGGAGGCAGCTATAACCCTGCAGCTCTCCCCCTTCCTGCACGGCCCTGGCAGCTGTTGGAGAGCAATGCCACCCCTCGGACACGGCGGGAACTGTCTGTCCTGCAGGCCCTGAGGGAAGCTGTGGTTCCCCTGAAGGGGAAGGCAAAGCTCTCTCCAGCCCAGTGCTGCTTTTCCCCAGCCTGGAGCTGTGCTGGGCACTGTGGCTTCCTCCTCTGTTTTCTGCACAGCCTGGCAATGAAGGCTGACATCCACAGACCTTCCTATTGGGCTTTAGCAGATGAAAAGGATTCCCCCACCAACATCCAGCATCCCTTCCCCTCTCTGCCCCCCCTCCAACGGAGGGGATGTACTAGGTCACCGTTCTCCTCCCTGGGTGCCTGAGTTTAAGCTTCCGACTTCCTATTCAGGCTATTGAGGGCTTGTCTGTGCAGGGAAGTTGTGTTTGCTAGTGCATGTGAACTCCACGTGTGGCTCCAGTGAGCACCATCACTCTTTGCAAGGGGAGCAGCTGCCGTGTACTCTGTGCATGCACCAGCAGGTCAGTGCAAAGCGGCCAGCGCTCATTGCCTCTCACGCCGCTACCCGAGCCGTGACTTCCCCGGCCAGCCAAGCCCGCAGAAAAGCAATTCTGTTTTGCTAGGCAGTGACATTGGTGAGCTCTGGGCCTTGCTGCTCTTTGGCCTCCGGGGTGGAAGCAGGCGTCCAGGTCCCTGTTTCCCTGCAGCAGTTGGGGAATTCCTGCTTGGGCCGATGGGTTGAGTTTAGGGGGGGAAGGCAGTGAATTATTAGCCCTGTCTTCATCTGCTGGACCTGGATGACCTCAGAAGTGGACACAAAGTGGAACCTGTTTTGTTTCATGACATCTATCAAGGTCCCAATCGTTATGGATTGGGACCTTGATAGATCCACAATTCAAAAAGGACGTGGAGAAGCTTGAGAGAGTCCAGAGAAGAGCCACGCGCATGATCGGAGGTCAGGAAAGCAGACCTTACGATGACAGGCTGAGAGCCATGGGGCTCTTTAGCCTGGAAAAGCGCAGGCTCAGGGGTGACCTGATGGCCACCCATAAGTTTATTGGGGGTGACCACCAGGATCTGGGGGAACGTTTGTTCACCAGAGCGCCCCAAGGGATGACAAGGTCGAATGGTCATAAACTACTGCAAGACTGTTTCAAGCTGGACATAAGGAATAATTTCTTTACTGTCCGAGCCCCCAAGGTCTGGAACAGCCTGCCATCGGAGGTGGGTCAAGCACCTACATTGAACACCTTCAAGGGAAATTTGGATGCTTATCTTGCTGGGATCGTATGACCCCAGCTGACTGCCTGCCCTTTGGGCAGGGGGCTGGACTCAATGATCTTCCAAGGTCCCTTCCAGCCCTATGTCTATGAAATCTATGAAATTATCCCGTGAGGTTGTCCAGGGGGGAGCACACCAACCAAGTGGCTGGACAGAGCAAGGAAAGGAGCCCGTGTCTCCTGGTGTCCAGGCAAGACCCTCAGCCCTGTTTCCTTCCTGAGACGTCTGTCTGTCTGCTCCCCAGACTCCCTGTTACAACCTGGGGCGAGTCACTTAGGATGTGTGTTTCCCAAGTGCCTCTGTTCCAGGGGCAATGAGGACTCGTAGTAGAGACGATATCTCTTATTAGACCAACAAGATTTTTGCAAAAAAAAATTACTTAATTTTTGCAAAAAGCTTGCTGGTCTAATAAAAGATATCATCTCTACTACAAGTCCCCGTTGCCTTTTTCCTCTAGACCAATACAGCTACAACCTGGATACTCTGTTCCCGTGGGTCACTCAACCCAGTTTCCCCCAGTATCACTCTGAGCCTTAGTTTCCTCATCTGCACTGTGCGGATCCTGGCAGTGTTGGGCCTCCCTGGGGAACAGTGAGGAGAAACTTGCTGGAGATGGTGAGGTGCCCAAGGAGGGGTCCTAGCCTCTCCCTTCATCCTGTCTTGGGAGCTTGGTGGGAGCAGAAAGCTCCAGAATCAAACTGGGGAAGGGATCTGTGTTGTTCCCTGTGGTGACGTTTGCCAGCTTGGACACTGGGTGGCACTACAGGGATGCAGGAGTCTGGGCAAAGCTTCATCCTCTGAAGTCCTGCCTCAATGAGGAGCTCTTTTAAATATGGAGCAGTTTCTGTCTCTCATAAATAAACCCCTTAGTCGGTTAAAGGAACGCAGTGATCTAATGCAAAGAGATTAATTAAATATACAGGGGCCATAGCACGTCATCAAATTTTAAGCAGAGCTCCCTTGTTGGAACAGCCATAGACTTCTGCTGAAGGCTATGTGCAGCTGTATGGAAGGGTTATTGTGGACATTGTTAAAGGGACAGCAATCCCCACCCGTGAGTTAGGCACCCAGAGATTGAAGGGTCAAAGAATGTGACCAATTCAGGCCAGATTGCATCTCTCTCGCTGATTATAATCAGTGCCTCCAAAGGCTGCTGCTGGCATGAGATGCAATTGTGCAGGTCACCATGAGCATCAGAACCAGGCTTTCAACCTCCAGGCCCTGATTCGGCAAAGTAACGAAGCAAGTGCTTCATTTTATGAATGTGTTGAAAGCCCATTGGCTTTACTGGAAGTCGCGCCAAACCAGGGCTGAGAGCGTCGGAAAGTCCCCCTGGATGTTATCTGGGTGATGTGCGGGTTTCTAGCTGAGCGGCGGATGGCTGTACATCCAGTCACTGGTAGTCGTGTTGCACAAGGCTGGCTAGGCTATGTTATCTCCATCCATGTCAGCCAGGAAGGTATGGGCCGTAGAGCGTATGTGCATTCACTGAGCTAGCTTGCTGGCCCAGCATGGTGAAGGATTTCAAATTGACCCAAGGTGATGCCAAAGCAGTCCATATCCAGGACATGGATTGCTCTGAAATGGCCACTAGTGACATTTGCTCCTAAAAGAAGTGTGGGAATGACAGGGAAGGGTAGAACAAGACACTTCATAGCTATCATTATAGCTGTTGTGGATAAGCTATTATTTAACTAATAAGCTATTATTTAACGCCCAGTAATGACATTCCTGGCAGGGCACAGTGCTGCGCAAACAGTAAAGAGGGCCCAGCTGGAATCGCGTCCAGTTTCCTGACTCTTCCTTCATCGTCCTACCTTTTCCCTTGCTCTGATTCATAGCCACTGGCTGGGTCCATTCTCTTACCCCTTCCTGGTCCAGCAGGCTGGTTTCTCAGCTGTTGCCAATCGGCTGAATGCAAAGCTGTTACCCGTGAAGGTGACAGAGCTCTGCTGTTTGAGGTCTGCTGTGGGTTGGGTCCCCCCTTCAAAGCTGTGACTCCTGATTCGTGCTTGTGTAGGTAATGCGTGGGATCATGCCCACTGCATCGGATGCTGCTGGGGAACATGCCTAGAGTGGCCACTCCAATGCAACCTGGTTCCTGGAGCCTGATTCTTATGTCAGGCCCTTGCTCTGCTATGTTGCCCTGCCTTTTCTTCCTGGGTGTCCGGTGCTCTGGCAGTAGGTATTCTCTATTCAGAGGCCCTCTGCATTTCTGATCTGCTGCATGCAGTGTGGGAACATGTTACCATCTGAGAAAACCCCCTCCCTGTCATGGGATCCACTTCAGTGGACCCTTCCCCAGGTCCAAACATCACTGTTTCTCAGCATGGCTGTTTGCAGCACAGAGCAAGTCAAGCCAAAGCCGATCCTTATGATCCTTGCTAA